CTCTTGCTCAGGCTGGTCTCGAACTCCTGAGCTCAAACAATCCGCCCGCCTCGGCCTCCCAGAGTGCTAGGATTACAGGCGTGAGCCACCGCACCCGGCCAGAAGCTGTATATTTTTAATGAGGCTAAAACAAACACAAGACATTGACAAAACAGGCCAGTAAAATTAAAAAGATCTTTTTAAAAACTATGAATTTTTTTAACCCAAATTATGGTTAATACTTACCATTTTTATTTGCTGGTGAAAAAAAGTTGAAGACAGGTGAAAATATGGTCCCCAACAATGTAGTTCTTGGAGGACTGCCAGTGGAAGGATTATCTTCTAATTTTCCATTTTGTTTTACATGTTGATTTGTCATTTCATAACTACCAGCTTCTAACAAAGAAACAAGAAAAAAGTCATGATCTAAAAAACACTGACTTTCAGAAGTGTGTTTTAAATCCCTCATTACAAAAATAACTTTCCCCTCCCTCAAAATATTTCATGAAAACTGATTTACAGGAGAGCTTATTAAAGAAATCCTGAGATAAAGCAAATGCTCTTTATACATAAATGTATTAGCTTATTAAGTATGAAATGTCCGATTTCCTTAAGTACTAGGTTTGACAGTTGATGTCTCTGACATTTCACTTTTATACTTGTTTTATTTTTATTGTGAAGGTACATCCTCAGTCTTTTAAACCCATGGTTTGGCTTGTGATTATCTTTCAACTTTTTTTTAGAGCAATTGTTGTGAAACCATGAATAAGTCAAAAATTCATGTTATTTTCGAATATGTGTTCTGTCATGGAACCAGTGCAGCACAGACAGCTCGAAATATCGACCAAGCGTTTGGTAAGGGTGTGGCTAATGAATGTACACTATATTGATGGTTTGAGAAGTTCCATTCTGGTGATTTTAACACATTAACTGACATGTGAGTTGTATTAAATTCACACTAGTTCTGAGCCTGGGGCCTTGTGAAGCATATATAACTCACACACCTCTTCACCTTGGGAGCCATGAGAACTATTTTTCAAGTTGCATAACACTCCTGGACAGAAAACAATAAAAAATAACAAATTTTTCATTAAATTAGAAAGATCATTTTGTTTTTGAAGTTTTTATTCAATTTTCACAATAAAATACCATGGCCCCAAGGAAAAATTTTTCTTTTCTAGTGTGGCAGTCAACGTGTTAATCTTGAAAATGAGCCACGTGGGCAACCTGAGACCAAAATGGATAACGATGAGCTGAAAGCTGTAGTGGAAGCAAATCCATCTCAACCTACACGTGAATTAGCAGCAAGGTTTGATGTTACTATTACAACAATAGTGGACCATTTGAAACAAATTGGCAAGGTAAAGGAGCTGGATGGATGGGTTCTGCATGCACTAAACGAGTGCCAGAAGAGAAATCATCCCAAAGCTTGCCTTTCTTTGCTGTCACGACATAAAGGCAAACCATTTCTACACCGTATTGTTCCATGTGATGAAAAAGGGATTCTTTTTGACAATTGCAAGCATTCGGCACAATGGTCGGATAAAGATGAAGTGCAGAAACACAGCCCAAAACCGAATATTCATCAAAAAAAGCTAATTGGGTCTGTTTGGTGGTCCAGTGCTGGTATTATCCACTACGGCTTCACGAAACCTGGTCAATCAATTACAGTGGGTGTCTACTGCAACCAACTGGACAAAATGATGAGGATGCTTGCGATTAAGCAGCCAAGACTGGTCAACAGAGACAGGCCAATCCTCTTGCAAGACAACGTTGGACCCACATGTCACACAAACAACAATGCTCTAACTAAAGAGGCTGGACTTGGAAACTCTCTGTCATCCACTGTATTCACCAGACCTTGCAACAACTGACTACCACTTATTCCAGGCTTTGAACCACTTCAAACAAGGAAAAATACTCAATTCTCAATAAGCTGTGGACACTGCCTTTTGCGATTTCATCGCCACTTGCCCTCTAGGCTTCTTCGCTGCTGGCATAAAACAAGCTACAACCTTGAAGATGGCAAAACTGTGTCAACAGTTTTGGCACATACTTTGATTAATTGTACTGCTTCTTGTTTGAGATATAATAAACTACACTTTTGATTCGAAATCAGACATTTCATATTTAATGACCCAATATTGATGCTATACAAATGGTAACATACTGAGTTTTTTTCAAAGTAGATTTACATCAAGAATTATATAGATCGAAATGCTTCAAATCAACATAGTACAACAGAAAATGAAGAACATTCTTTATAAACAAGTTACCAGTATCTAAAACATAAATGCAAGATTTTGTTTTTGTTTGCATTCTGAGATGTTCACTTCAGAAAACCTTCCCTCATATCTACTTCTAATGAATAACAGCTAAATGAATAGAGGCAATATAGCTCTACTGAAGCAGAAGACTATATATATACAGTAGTGTCAAAAATTACTTATGGATATTTAGGCACTGGTTAGGAAGAATAACCAGTTGTTTTAAAGTTTCTTGCAAATAAAAATTTTCCACAAATTTTAGAAAATAGAAAATAAAAATAAAATCAATCAAAAGTTTTGATTAATCATCCTTTGACCCTCCACAACTTTACTTGGTATCAACCGCAATTTTTCCTTCTTTGCTATGGCTCTTTTAATTTGTTTCTCTCTCTTCTCTTCCCCTTCCAGTCTCAGTTCCCTTTTTCAGTCTCCTTTATCTCCTCATTAGTTACTTCTAACAATAAAGATATATTATTGCATCGGCCAGAAGGAGGAGAGGAATTGTTATTGCTGTTGTTGTTTAAGACAGCATTGGTTAAAAGAACACTCCATGCTCTAAAGTGTTCTTTATAGCTTTCTCTTCATGTCCTTTATGTTTTTCTCCCCTTTGACTTTGAGGAGCTTCTCAGCATACAATAAGGTGTTGACAAAGTTTATCAACAGCTGCACAACTGACATTTGGGCCTGACAATTCTTTATTGCAAGGGGCTGTCCTGTGTATTGCAGGATGTTTAGCAGCATCTCTGACATATACCTGATAGATGCCAGTAGCAGCTTCTCCACAGGTTATTGACAACCAAAAAGGTCTCCAGATACTGACAAATGTCTTTTGGGGGACAAAACCACCCCCAGTTGAGAACTACTGGCCTAAGTGATCCAAGTCCCTTCTGAGCTCTTAAAGAGTGTAATCCAGGAAAAAAATTTTGTACATATTTCAAATGAATTATGTCATAAGTATTACTGCTTTAAGAAATGAGTTTATCAGAGGCCAAAAATGCTGATCCATATGTATTTTTATGCTAAAAAGTATAAAGCTAGTTACTCTGCCTTTACTTATTTTAACTCATCACAGTAAAATTTTTTTTAGGAAGGTAAATTTTTATTTCACTTCATGCTACTCATATTTGATACAAAGACTACAAAAATCAGGTAGAAATTGCTCAAAGTAGATTTTTAAAAAGAGATAGGAAATGAGTCAAGTGCAATCTGTACTTACACCTAAATAAAACAATATCTAAATATTAACAAACCTCCATTCACTTGACTTTTCCGTCTTACTCGAGAGATCTGTTTGTTAGGCTTTTCTCCTGCTCTTGGTGTTGATGTGATCAAATTATTATCTATATCCCGTTCAATTCTACTCCGTTTTGAAGGATTTTCTCTCTCTTCCTTAAGATATAAGAGGAAAAAACATGCACTGAGCACAGTCACTCTGCCTTATGGGTTATACTTTTAAAATGATAAAATATGGTATAATATACTTTCCCCTGTTTTTCATATCCAGGAAAAACAAAATGCAGTTACAGGTTATATCAAAGAGTGTTAGGGAACACAAGAAAAAACTGATAGTGTTGTAAGGATATTAATACAATTGCAATATACAAATATAATTACAACATCCCCACAATTCAGATCCTCTCCCCATGGTTCATTAAATTTTCCAGGCTATCAAAGCATTTAATTGTACAATGTACCCTGAATTTTCCACAATTCTTCCTTATTTTTAGAAATGTCCTAAAGAACCAAAGATCATTTCCTTAAGCAACTCAGCGTAGGCGAGAAAGCCTCACTGAACTTGCTGGCAAGTCACATATTACCAAAAAAAAAAAAGAAAAAGAAAAAGGCCTGCCCTTGCCATACCCCTCACTGCCAACCTCAATTATTTAAATGCCCAAACTGACATCATGGAGTCTACCCCTTAAAAAGCTCTTCCTTTATTGCCTTATGTGGGACGAGTCCACATGACTACTTCAGACTATTCTTACACAATTACTGACTAAAATAGTATACTTCCAAGCATTAGCCTGATTTATTTTTCTCCTTTTATATATATTGTCTTCTCGTTTGTAAAGTTTTTCCAGAGTAACCTACCATGAATGATTTTCTTACATTATAATATTGCCCCATAATTCCTTGCTGTTTTAATTAGTACCTGAAATCTTTTGATAGATTAGATTTTCAAATCTATACACTATATATAATTTATACATAAATTTGACATGCTCCATCTATCCTTTTTTGTATTCAATGCTTTTATCCCACAGAAACTAATAAAATATACTAACATGCATTTTTAAAAGGCTCAATATTCTATTATTTCTGGAAAAAAATCTTGGTATTATAAATGGTGAAAATTACAATTTTCCATTTGGATCAAAACAGAAAAAAAGATATTGCTGCAATACAGAATTTTACTTTTACTCAGCAGTTTCTCTAATTTTACGTAGCTCCATAAAACCAATACGGCATTATAGCACACAATAATGCCTCAGTGATCCACAACAAAATTCTTCAAATTTTCACTGTTTATTATTCCTCTATATTTTAAAATGACGAAGAGGAAGTCTCTTATCCCTAACATGGGATCTCCATTACCAGAAAATATAAGTGCTCTTTATAAAATCCATCTAGAACAGAAATAATATAGCAAATCTTCAACTACATACACTAAGCTCTAGCCTCCCCTTTAAGAAATTTCTTAGTACAGCCGCCGTAACATAATACATACATTCCAGAAAACCCTGCATTCTGCAACACAAAAGTAACAATGCTTAAGGAAAAAATGTATCCCAGAGAAAGGAGAGGGGTATGTTGGGACAGATTACTTCATGCGACTGTAACTTTGTAACCATAGCACAATGTGACTGTAACTTTGTAACCAAGGCACAAACAAAAACACATCCGGACCTCCAGAGATAACTTGGACACCCCAGTCAGGCAAAGAGTAGCTGGAATGCAACCTCAGAACATAATAAAAGTTACTAAAAACAAGAAGTAGAAACAGGGGCCTATGGGACCTAAGAAGTGAAGCCTTAAGCCAGTGGAGCTACTGTGTCTTAAGATGGGCACAAAAGGAGATGCGAATCACCACATGTAAAGACTCTCTGCTAGACCAGGGTGGACCTCTCTGGGGAGTGAGACTCTGTTGCAGGTTATCAACTTTAATGAAAAAAACAACAACAAAAACAAAGAACAAAAAACAAACAAAAAACAGGTGAAAGGGCTTTTGCCCAAGCAGTTGAACTTAAAGCTTTCTTTCTTTCTTTTTATTTATTTATTTATTTATTTTTAAGAGATGAGGTCATTCTGTCACCCAGGCTGAGTACAGTGGTACAATCATAGCTCCCTTGCAGCCTCCAGCTCCTGGCCTCAAGCAATCCTCCCGCCTCAGCCTCCAGAGTAGTCGGGATTACAGGTGCATGCCACCATGCCTGGCTAATTTTTTTCTTTTATTTCATTTTTAAAAGACAGGGTTCTACTATTACCTGGTTAGAATACCGTGACCCCATCACAGCTCAAATTCCTGGGCTCAAGCAATCTCCTCCCAAGTAGCTGGGGCTATAGGTGCATGCCACAATGCCTGGTTAATTTTTAATTTTTTGTAGAGATGGGGTCTCACTATGTTGCCCAGGCTGGTCTCAAACCTGTCCTCACGCAATCCTCCTGTCTCAGCACTCTCAAAGCATAAGCCACCATGCCCAGCCTGAAGGCTTCTTTTACAAGATAGACTACATGTTAGAAAGTACCCGAAAATACCAAAGAAATCAAATCATATACACCATATTCTTGGATCACAAT